GCAACTATACACAGTAGAATGGGGGTATTCAGCAGCCATGGGTTTCAACCAAGTGATAAGTAAAGACTAGAACTGGCAACTATACACAGTAGAATGGGGGTATTCAGCAGCCATGGGTTTCAACCAAGTGATAAGTAAAGACTAGAACTGGCAACTATACACAGTAGAATGGGGGTATTCAGCAGCCATGAGTTATTGAAACCAAGTTTAAATCCATGTCACAGGTTGAGTACACATGAACAGATAGGTTCAACAAGAAAATTTTAAAGTGAATGACTGACTATCAACCATATATCTATAAATCTGACTAAAATCAACATTGTCATACCAAGTTCATGCCCATACCCTGCATAGCATTGCATCTCTAAATCTTACTGAGATTAACTCTTAAGCACGTGATTAACCCCACATCTGAGCAATAAGATTAATGGTCAAAACAAGGATTCAGCATGAGCAAGACCAATTTTACTCAAGGGCCACTCTTACCCTTGCAATTACCATAGTCCAACATGAATTGCTGCTAAAGACTAACAATAATTTTACTTTAACCTTCTCTAGAGTTTCATTGCAAATAATGTATTATTACGGCCTTTAGAGCGGAAATAGACCTCATCTTTTTCCATGGATTCTGGGGGGTAAAGGGATAGCATGATTTTATCTCTTTATAGGAAAGGTGAGCGATGGCCCAATCCTGAAAGGGAACTGAACCTTATTATAGCAATCCTACAAAAGAATGAATCTTTCCCTAACTGCGGAGCATACAGATCTTGATTCCCCGAATCTATAATTGAGGTCAACCAATTATTCTAATCACCCTAAGCAATCTCCATGTCAACAGCTTCTAGCATAACGTTCCAACAGAAACAATATAAAGATATAAATAAATGAATCCTACAACATAGCCAAGGAATTGCTAATATTTCAGAGTTTAAGCTTGCCTACCAGTTGGGGAAAAGAAAAGAATAAATATATGGAGAGGGAGACAAAAACATACTCTCGGGCCACTCTGCAAGAGTAGGATCCTCCCAGGATTGCCCTGCAGCTTTCCGAGGAATTGCCTTCTTTTTAGTCTCTGCTTTGTGCTCGATCTCGCTGCTCGCAAGTGCAGCTTTCACACTCTCAAGAGCTTCTGGAGTTATGGTTTGCGCATCTCTCTGAAACAACTGCTGAGCCTGTAGATATCCACATTCACCATCAGAACTAGAAAGAGTGATGAACAAAAAAAAAAGTATAAATTGATTTACTTTTCCCAGAAAGCATTTGAAGAACTTATTTTCTTTCCATCTGGTAGAAGATCCATTAGCAAAAATAATCAAAAGAACACAACCAATCAAGTCGTTCAATACAAAATTTACACAATGACTCAAGAAGTGCCAAAATGTAGTGACTATCAATGCTCAAGTGCTTAAATCTGATTTAAAACACAAATAAAAAAATTCAGCATAATCTAATACAAAATCTTCAAGCTTTTACAAGCCTATGTAGGTGACTAGATGACAAGGCCAAGCTTCATGTCAAAGTGAAGCCTAGGCACACTTTTTAGATGCGTGCAAAAAAGTAAAACATTTCAACCCCGCAGGTGAACTCCATAAATAAATATAACCCCTCGAATTCCTGAATACCCCATTAAAATGCTAACTTCCGAAAACATAAAAACTAATTTGCCTGCTGATATTGAGGCAATGAGTAAAGAGTGCAGGGAGCGAGACAGACAGGTTACAGGTAATGCCACCAGCATTGAATTCAATACAAAATTAGAACATTACAGCCCAGCCCATGAATTTCATAATTAAAAGTAAATCCCAGAATTGCCGAATATCGATTAAAATGCCAAATTTGAAAAACAAGTAATTTTGACTGCTGCAATTGAGGCGACCAATACAAGGTAGGGGGGGTCGCATATTTCAATTTAACTTCATAAGTGTAATCAAGGCATTCACCATAGCCTAATCCATATGTCTAAATAAAAAATTAAAAAATCAAAACATTACAGCCCCGCCCGTGAATTCCAAAAATAAACGTAAACCCTAAAATTCCCGGATATCCATTAAAACGCTAAATTTCAGCGCAACATAAAAGTAAACTTACCTGCTGGAATTGAGGCAACGTGTAAACGGTAGGGGGAGCAGGATACACCGGTAGCGCCATCGACGGGACAGATGGCGGAGGAGTGGCGCCTATGTACGGGACAGGCGCCGGAGCTTGTTGGAGATGGAACGGCGTCGGAAAATAGGAGGCGGGGGCCGTAGGTGCGGCGTATGTATATTGGGAGGACGATGATGCGGAGGCAGTCGGGGTGGAAGGCACCATCGACATGGCGAAACCTGATGAAACGACTGGTTTCAGCTAAACGACGACGTATTGATGTGCTTCGATTCTGCTCTACTGGAGGATCTTCGCAATTACAAACGAATTTAGGGGACAGATCTTATAAGAGTATTGCCATTCTGATTAATTGTTATAGTTTTTTTTATTGCCCCATTGGTCAAGTCACAAAATGTCATTTGTAAGAAACGGACGATAGCTATGGATAGACTTAAATATGAATAAAATTATTCATTCCATCTCAATTATATAAACTGAATTTTATTTTTCTTTTATCCCAAATATAAAGACATGTTTCTTAATTTGAAATATTTTATTTTTATTACTTTACTGATATACCCTTATGCAATTTTCCTTCCTTAATATGCCAACTTCTCGAAATAATTCAAATATACATATTTCTCACTTCTTAAAAATATGGAACAACTATCATGTCTTCTTTTTTAAATTAAATTATTCAAATTCTTTATTACTTTCAACAATAATTTACTACTACATACTAAAAATTATATAGGGGTAACCTAGGAAAAATCTTAGTAAAAAGTAATTTTTCAATGACACTAAAGAAAATTTCTAAATTCGTGTGAAAAACGAAACAATCATATATAATTGGGACGAATGGAGTATTTCAAAATCAAGTGGGCCTTTCAACCGTCAATGAACTTTTCGTATTGGTACCAACCGTCAATAGATTTGTCATAACATCTGCAGTTTGCTCCTCGGTTCCACAGTGTTACAACTCAATGGTTCCATCCTCGTAAAGCTCTCTCAAAAAATGGAAACGTACATCAATATGTTTGCTCCTCCCATGCATGACAAGATTCTTAGAGAATTTGATGGTGGAGCTGTTGTCACACATGACTATGGTGCCCTTCTTTTGTATATGTCCCAACTGCTCCAAAACTCTTCTCATCCACACTGCTTGACTTGCACACCCAACTGTTGCCACAAACTCTGCCTCTGTGGTTGACAATGTAACAGTCGACTGTTTCTTTGAAAGCCAAGATACTGCTCCAAAACTTAACAGAAAAACATAACCGAAAGTGCTTTTCTGATCATCTAAGTCACCAGCATAGTCACTATCTGTGTAGGCAATCAAGTCATCTGAACTCCCTTTCTTGTACATAATTCCATAATCAAAAGTACCCTTCAAATACCTTAATATCCTTTTGGCAGCTTGTAAGTGAATCTCTGTAGGCTTAGCGATGAACCTGCTGATCAAATTCACAGTGTACATTATCTCTGGACGAGTTGCAGTGAGATACATGAGGCTCCCTACAATTTGCTTGTAATATGACTCATGAATTGCAACTCCTTCTTCATCCTTGCTCAACTTGCAACCTGGAACAATTGGACTATTGACCGCATGACTATCCAGGCCGTTGGGATACTTTAATGCCGAGAAAGAACTTCATTTTTCCCAGATCAGTCATTTCAAAAACTTGCATCATTGAACACTTGAAACTGCTCATCATCTCTTCATCATCACCAGTATAGATTAGATCATCAATATAAATACTTACAATAAGTATTTTACCTTCTTTGCTACTTTTTGTGAAGAGAGTCTGCTCATTTGGGCATCTTTCAAAACCCTCACTGACAAAGTAAGTTTCGATGCGGCTGAACCAAGCTCGTGGAGCTTGCTTTAAGCCGTATAGAGCCTTGTGTAACTTGTAGACCTCGTCCTCACTTCCTTTGACCTCATAACCCTTTGGCTGCTCAACGTACACATCTTCATCAAGTTCACCATGGAGAAATGCTGTTTTACATCTAACTGGAATATTTTCCAATTTTTTTGAGCTGCAAGAGCCACCACCATCCTTACTATCTCCATTCTTGCCACTGGAGCGTAGACCTCGGTGTAGTCTATCCCATGTTTCTGCGTGTACCCCTTGACCACTAAGCTTGCTTTGTGCTTCTCAAGCTCTTCATGCTCATTATACTTGGTTTTATAGATCCATTTCACCCCAACTTTCTTGGCTCCAACAGGCAATGTAACCAACGTCCATGTCTTGTTTTTCTGTATGGACTTAATTTCATTGTCCATTGCCAATCTCCAGCTTGCATTCTTCACTGCTTCTTCATAGTACAATGGATCACTTGACACCATTAGTTCCATATTACTCTCATCTTTAGATAACCCGAGGTCCTCCCCACTAACATAATCCCTCATCCATCCTGGACAATTTCCCACTCTCTTACCAATACTACTTCCACTATCTTCACTATCCCCATTGTTTGGAGATTCATTTCCTCTATCACCACTGCCAATCACACCAATATTTTTACCATTATTTTCAACCCCATCAGTGTTTTCATCTCCCTCACCATTATTATCACCTACTCCTGCATCATCATCTTCCCATTCTAAATCTACCAAAATTTGTTCTTCATAACTCTCATCCCAATTCCATTGTCTATCCTCTTCAAATATCACATCCCTACTCACCACTACCCTTTTAGTAATAGGATTATACAATCTATATCCCTTAGATTCCTCACTAACACCCAAAAATACACAAATAGAACTTCTATTGTCAAGTTTAGTCCACCGTTCCTTTGGCACATGAACATGTGCTATGCAACCAAAAACCCGAAAATGATCAACTGAAGGCTTCATTCCGCTCCATGCTTCTTCGGGTGTGATGTTTTTGACTGCCAAGGTTGGACATCTGTTCAACAAATAATTGCTCCAATTTACTGCCCCTGCCTAAAATGGTTTTGGAATTCCCTTTTCTGAGAGCATTGCACGAACCATGTTCATTACAGTTCTATTCTTTCGTTCAGCTACACTATTTTGTTGAGGGGTGTAGGCAGTTGTCAGCTGCCTTTTAATGCCATTCTCCATGCAGAAGTTGTTGAATTCAATTGAGGTGAACTCGCCTCCCCTGTTCGTACGCAGACACTTGATCGGCAAACCTGTTTCATTCTCCACCATTTTCTTAAAACACTTGAAATGACTCAATGCTTCTGACTTCTCACTAAAAAAAAATATCATTTCTACTGTAGTCATCTATGAAACACAAAAAATACCTTCTGTTACTGTTGGACATGGGAGTGATTGGACCGTAGATGTCTGCATGGATGAGACCCAATATTTGAACTGTTCTCCAATAACTCTTCCTGGATATAGTATCACGGTGATGCTTGCCAATAATGCAATCTTCGCACAACTCATCTGAGGCAGTGAAGTTAGGAAGGCCATGCACCATTTTCTTGCTCTGCAAGGTCCTCAAACCCTTGTAGCTTAAGTGCCCATATCTCCGATGCCAAAGCTGAGACAGATCCTGTGAGTTTGTGTGAAGACACTCTTCATGTTGTTGCTGAGACGTTATTTGTGATTGGGCAAACAAGATGAACATCCTATTTGTGCTCATGTCAGTCTGAATAATCAAGCCCTTATAGGGATGAAAGATCTTGCATACCCCTCCCTCAATCAAAATTGCCAAGCCTTTCTCTTGAAGCTGCCATATGCTCAGGAGATTATTTTTTAACTCAGGAACATAGTACACTTCAGTAATAATATGGTTAACACCATCAATTAGAAGCTTTACATCACCTTTTCCTGTCACCTCCATCCTGGTGTTGTTGCCCAGCTTGACTGAATGCTTGAAGCGCTCATCCAGCCTTGAGAACATGGCTTGATCCCCACACATGTGATTGGAGCACCCCGAGTCAAGAAACCAAGCATGCAGCTCTACATAGGACATCAACAACATCTCATCCTCTTCTTCAAGCTCAACATAGTTTGCTTCCTTATTCAAACTCGGACATTCATATTGAAAGTGCCCGAGTTGATGGCATTTGAAACTCTCCACCGTGGCTTTTGTAAAAGCTTGTCAACCTCTGCCTCTTCCCCTACCCCTGAAGTCGCTTCTTCCTTGGCCTCTGCCACTGTACCTTTCTTCATATGTAACTTTAAGAGCTTGCTCATCATTGCTGTGTCTATTGAACTTCTACTCATGAACCATCAGTAAACACTGTAATTCATCTATAGACATGGCATCAATATCTTTGGACTCTTCAATGGTACAAACAATATAATTGAACTTATCTGTCAAAGACCTCAAAATCTTTTCAACCACAGTTATATCAGTCATCTCATCTCCATACACACGCATCTTATTTGCCACTGCCATAACCCTAGAAAAGTAAACAGTAATAGTTTCACCTGATTTCAACTCTAGGGTTTCAAAATCTCTGCGGAGACTTTGAAGAGTCGACCTCTTCACTCTTGTGTTCCCTTCGTACTTCTTTTTCATAGCATCCCAAATGTCCTTCGCGGTGTCTTTCTTTAGGATGGTCTCCATGACTGACCTATCTATTGCTTGGAATAGATAATTCTTGACCCTCAAATCCTTCAGCTGCAATCCCTCATAACTCGTCTACTACACCTTTGTCAACACTGTTTCTACTGGTCGCACGCATCCTGTCTCCACAAGATCCCAATATTGTTTGGATCTCAAAATTTTTTCCATCAGCATAGCCCAGTGGTCATAATGACCATTGAAGATTGGAATTGCGGGCTTGCGAATTTCACTTCATGTGACATCTCTTTCTGTTTTGGTGGTCACTCAAAGCTACTGCCTTTTTGTCTCTCAGGCCAGTGCTGGCTCTGATACCAGAATGTTGGGAAGCTCTGATGAAGCAAACAATAACACAACAAAGCTCAAAGATATTCTGGATGAATGACCCATTTATTGAACGATCTTGGCTATATATATAGCCCTTAAAGTACTTAACAGAACAACTGAAATAAAGTTCACGTTTAGCTAAACATCAGCTAACGTGGTTAGTAAAACTGACCACTAACAGTCTCAATTAATCCTAAAGATTAGGAATTTATTTAACAAAAGTAAGACTCAGTAAACACCTAAAAATAAGCAATAATTATCCTTTCACACAAGCACGCCAACATGACTTTAGATTGTTAGGAAAAAAAGGGGGTGATTTGTGTATAAATTATCGATTTACATAATAACATAATATATATAATTCAATAATAATAACACAACATAAAGATGAAAAAGAGATTTAAAAAGTAAGTCTTAGAGAGTTACATCAAGGACACTATCCTAAAATCGCGTTGCTTCATAATCAATTCTCCCTCTATGGCATGATCATAGGAAGATAATAATGAGTTTTTACCGAGTTATCAAAGTAATAGAATATAAAATGTATATAT